TAAAAACGGATAAAGAACAGCTGTAAATGTGGCTCAAGTGGCAGAGCACTTGCTTAACAAGTGCAAGGCCCTGAGTTCAAATCCCAGTACCAACAAAAGTAAAAAACACTTAAAAACGGGTGCTGGTGGCTCACGCCTGTAATCCTAGCTACTTGGGAGGTTGAGATAGGGAGAATCGAGGTTCGAGACCAGCCCAGGCAAATAGTTTGCAAGACCCCCATCTCCAAAATAACTAAAGCACACAAAAAAGGGCTGGTGGAGTAGTTCAAGCAGTAAGAAACCTGCCTGGCAAGCATGAGGCCCTGAGTTCAAACCCAAGTGCCCCTAAAAACAAACAAACAAAATAACCACAGCAAAATGGACTGGAAGTATGGCTTAAGTGGTAGAGTGCCTACTTTGCAAGCATGGAGCCCTGAGTTCAAACCCTAGTTGCACCCTAGAAAAAAAAAAAAAACCTGATAGTCACTTTCTACAATTCTTTTGGGGACACTGACATTTTTCCTCAATGCATTGAGCTTTTCATGACTTAGCTGGATTTGGCTACCCACTGGGTACCAGTTGACAATAGAAGGATATTTTTGGTTTTTGTTGTTGAGATGGGGATCTTGCTATATTGCCCAAGCTGGCCTTGAACTTGAAATTCTCCTGCCTCAAACTCTCAAGTAGCTGGGATTACCAGTTTGTGCCACTGCACCCAGCTGGAAAGTTTAATTCTTGAATTTAGGTCTAAGGAATGGAATACCAATCTTTCAATTCCTTGCAGCCTAGGCTTGTAGGCATAGCAGACTCTGGAGCAAATCTTCTTGCAAAGGGGAGTGTTCGATTAACCACCAGGCTCCAGACCCCATCCTACCATCCAGGATCGGGAATGGAGCGAGGTACATAAGGGATTGGGTTCTGAGAACTCTGATTTTCCTCCAGAGTCCTAGTTATTAAGCAGGAAGATGACCACAGCTACCAGAGTAAATATTTTGCTGCCTCAGCTCTGTGTCTAAGGCTGTGTGTCTGTGTCTTTCTTGACTTCCTACAACAATCTGTCTTTCTCTCTCTAACTCAGTGTCACCTCCTCTTAAGGGTCATTACATAGCGAATTTGACTTCCTCACACAAAGCATGTTTAGATTGCCTCGGGCTCATTGTGTAGTTTGGAGAATCCATTTCTTTAAGATACCTGTAAGAAGGGTGCTCCAGTGCCAGGTTTCTCTGCCCATTTCCAAGTGAAAAGAAGTGTTACTGACGCCCCCAAACACACCTGCTCTGGCACGGATGCTGCTAATGAGCCTGTGGGGGTACATTTGCATGGGTTTGGTGTGCCAAGGATGCCTTTCTCTGAACACCTTTGTTTTTTAAGAATCTATTCACAGTGAAGGGGGGAATGTTGGAAAGTGAGCCATTAGCACATTAGTGAATCTTGTTTCCAGCCAGCAGCTGTGTTGTGCTTAGTGATATAGGGTACATTTACTGATGCCTTTTGATTTCCATGAATTTGACACACTCAGCACTCAAGTGTGCGTGGCTGCACGGTATTTCGTATATTCATTCCATGTTTCCTACTTCCAAGCAGAAAAGCCTCCCTAGCTATCCAGAGGCCTGGAGGAATAAACACTTCATTATAAATGCTTCCCTTGTTTCTGCAAACCCACCGAATTAAAATCCTTCATTTATCAAAACATGCTTGAACCTTCCTTGAGAGGTTTTTGACAATCACTGGATTTGTTTGCCAGGAAGAAAGGAATGTTGGAGGGAGACCATAAGTATCCAAGAAACATAAAAAAGGCATATTTATGCAGAGGGAAAGGAATACCATGAAATAAAAGCACGTGAGCAGAATTAAACACACACACACATGCAAACAGTCATAGCATTTTTCTAAGCCTTTTATTGCCATTTTGTATGCCCATAGGAAACAATTTCATTCCTTCTGTCTCTGGTTAAGCTTCTCATTCCTATTAGGTTCTATTCTAGTTTGAGTCTCTTATTTTTCTCTCTTTCGATAATAATTGACTAAACTGTTTTTTCCTTCTATTACATGAGCATCGAGCCTTAGAAGGGTATTTACTTATTTTGTGTACCACACCTTGATTTACTTTTTAAAAATGGAATAATATTTATGATATTTCATCAGAGAGGAGAGAATGTTAAGTGTTCTTTGCTTACAAGTAACTTGCTACCCAAAAAGAGGGTTCTTGGTGCTAAACTTTTTTTTTTTTTTTTTTTTTTTGGCAGTACTGGAGTTTGAACCCAGGGCTTTGCATTTGTGAGGCAGGGGCTCTAGCACTTGAACCACACCTCAAAGAAAGGAGTTTTTGATTGCCAACATTTTTGACCTCCTGGTCATAATTATGGCACCAGTGAGAGACATACACCCCACAAACGAAAAGTAGACACTGTCCTAGTTAAAGATAATTAAAAAGAAAAACCTCCAGTTGAATAGCCTAGAGATTCATTTGAATTATTGTGTGACCGTGAAGTAGTTATCATTAGTACACAACCCCACCCAACTCAAATAAAATGAAGCTATTTATTTTATTTTATTTTTTGGTGGTACTGAGGTTTGAACTCAGGTCCTCCCGATTGCTAGGCAGGCACTCTACCACTTGAGCCACTCTGCCAGCACTCAAAGCAGTTTTTTTATGGCAAATGTATGCATGCTATGGGAAGGGCTGGGGCTGAGCAAGCGCAGTACCTCTGTATTTCAGCTCAAAGTTGTCATCACATGTGAACGGAGGGATTGAGAAATCCAGCATCACCAAGATTCTCAGAACTGGATACAGAGTATTTTCTGAACAGTGTTGACCAAACATGGTGTTATTCCAACCTCCTTCTTTTACTTTTTAGGTGGTCCGAGACATTCTGCTGATTGGACATAGACAGGCTTTTGCATGGGTTGATGAGTGGTATGGTAAGTCAATTTCCCTGAAATAACTTACAGAACAATTTCCTAACATGTTTGGCTTGGGCTTTCAGCCCATCTGGCTTCAACCACTACCTACAAGGGCAACAACAAAGGCAGGCTATTTCTTCCTCTATTGGAAATAGCACTGTCCACCGAGCATAATAAGGATGTAATTATAGAAGCTTGGTCTAAAATAACCACAGAGCTATTGACTAAGTCGGACCTCAGTATGTTTGATACCTGCATAGTTGATATGCAGGACCCCACCATTCTCTGCTGGATGGATTTCAAACCCATCCTAATTTATCTCAAACTCCAGTTCAAGATCAAAGTTGTCTGAAGCCTCATGTCAAGCAAAAGCAGCCCTTTGATGCAGAGAACACTTGAAACAATCATTCACCAAATACATCTAGGTTCTGAAAGAATTCAAGGGTGAATGGAAACATGGGTGCCTCACTAATCCTAATTGAAATTGTCGTTTTGGCTTTTTTTTTTTTTTTCATGACATGAGAAGAGTTAACCAAGTTCTGCACTTTACCAAGTAAAAACAAGGTTTGTTTCACCCATGATGGATGGGCTATTCTCCCCAGGTCCCCAGCACTATGGTTTTGTCCACATGAGTCCTCTGCATTCCCAGAATCCAGATGACTTGTGTCCTTGGCTATAAATAAAAAGGAACACGCCCAACGGGTGACTTAGGTTAGATCTGATTTTCAGGTCACTTGTTTAATGAAATTCCCTCCTTCTTGACCTTTTCCTAAGTCACATTAAATTTGTTCTGAGTGTAACCTAGATTGTACTTCGGTCTTTTCCATCATTGTTCTACCCATCCCTCTCTTTGCTAAGCAGAAGGCACTGTAAAAGAATACAATGGAAAAAACTGGTGAAGACAGTGATGGTTATTAATGTTGTTAGCTGCTCCTGAGTCCCATTTAGAAGGCATAGTTCTATGAGCTATGGGCTTGTTTTGTTTTGTTTTCAGTTTTCTCAGATCTGCACCTTCTGAAGAGTAAATACATCTTCCTGTGTTTCTCCAAACTCAGATCATCATTTATACGCTCTTATCACATCCCTAGAATGCTATCTGTCATATAGCAAGTGGCCATAAGGTCTCCCAGAGACCTGCCTGGTGACTTGTGTTTGGTGAGGCAGGTGGATGGAAAGTCTCCTGTGATTACTTCCTCTGATTGAGAAACAAATCTTTGTAGGTATTTTTTTCCTGGGGAGCTTTTCTCAGATTCTCAAAGGGAGTAGGGACCCCCAAAAAGGTAAAGAACTTCTAGCCTCTCCTGACTTGTACTTCTCAGAGCTCACGGTTTCCTTGTTATTAACTTCAAGGGAATATCCAAGGGATATTCAAAGAAAAATAGGCTTGAACTGATTAGAAGTTTGGCAAGAGGACAGACATCTGAAGGGCCAAAAATATGCCACTTTAAAGACCAAGAAACTTGGATAAATTTCTCTCTAGCTCAAAATGCCATTGAGGACTTTCCAGAAAAGGAAACATGACAAAAGTAGCTGAGCTCTCTGATCAAGAGGACAAAACACTGTGAGCCTGCTGATCAGAAAAGAGGGCTTGATTAGAGACAGGATATAGGAATAAAACAAAAAAAAATATGAGTGGGTATCCAGCAAGTGAATGGCCTGTGTGGAGGATGGGGGCCATTTTTTTTTTTTTTTCTATCTCAGCCAGGCCCGGGAAAAGGAAAAGACTTAAGGGCACTTAATTAAGAGAGAGAGAGGGACTTACCTAATATGCCCAAAGCCCTGGGTTCAATCTGAATTCTCAGACTATTACAGGAGCCCAAAACTAGAATAATAGATCAAAGGAAATTCAAGCTTTCCAGTCCAGAGAACTTTAAGAAAAGCATCTACCTATTTACTAGGATGGGAGGGGGAGGGCACTTAACAAGTCAAGGAGTCTATGATCAAAAAGACCTTTCTGTATCCGAGTGAGGTGGGGAGAAGAGAGTGCAGGTTCTAGTGGCTGTAGATCACTGGAGCCCTGTACTCCCCACCCCTCCAGTGGGCCTCTACCCTCTAAACCCACAGTCATAGCCCCATCCAAAACAAGCAGCCTTTTACTCAACCAGGGGTCTGAGAACCACACATCCAGTTCATGTAAAGACTGCAGGCCTCAGCTCAGCGGAGCTGCAACCCAAGAACACAGTGGCTCCTTCATTACCTGATGAACAGGGCCACCTATTCAAGGTCATGCTGGGAACTGTGGATCTTTAAGGTAGATGGGTGTCTGTTACCATGGCCAAGTGCACACCAGGATAACCCTTAAGTTGTGGGTATCTGGAGTTTCTTATTTTTCTCTGGTTTCTACAGGCTCATTGAGGCTCTTGTTAGTAAACATGAACAAGGTCCAAAGAAAAGAAGCCCTCAGGTACAACTTACAGCACTGGTTCTCAGAGGGAGGTCCCTGGGCTTAGAGGGGGATTTGTTACAAATGCGCACTTTCAAACCTCCACCCAAACCCACTGACTCAGAAGATTTGGAGGGTCTAGCTTCCCCAGCCATCTTGTCTTCCCCAGAGTTTCAGAAGCCCTCCAGATGATTTGGAATTATTGGCTCACAGAATGGGTTATTAAACCAGATTGGATTACAAAGCCAGTTTAAATCATTCAGTCCAAATAGGTAAGACAAGAGGGTCACAGATATCTTCAGGACCAGCTGCTAAACACTGATCCCTGGTTAGAGTTAGGAAAAAGCTTCTCTTTAAACAGATGAGTTAGAAGAAGGTATGTCCCTTCTGGGCAGACTCAGCAGGTACAATGGGCTTGGAGCTAAATTTTAGTTCCATTCACCACCACAGCTATGTGTTTGTACAGTGCCCATGCTGGACACCCTTCTGCACCATCCATGGCAGCCCTATCTGCTTTTTCTCTAATTAGAATCACCACCTTCAGTACTTAATTATGAGTCAAGAAAAGAGACATTGCCGAGGATGGTGATTTTTTTCCCACCCAAAGATTAATTTTGCATCTCTCCCCAAGTTCCAGCATTTGCCTGTCACGAAACTATTTCCCTAGGCAGATTTTATTCTGCTCATGCTCACTGTAAAGTATAACCGATTCCATGTTAAGGAGTTCAGTCTGTCTCTCAAAGCCCTGATTGGTCTTTATCCAGGAGCCTTGGGTCTCTCTGCATGACTAGAACACTAATCAGAGAAGCAACAACAATGCATTTCAGGAGATGGGGTGAGAGGGGAAGTGGATAAAAATAGCCAGCCCAGCTTCACAAAAGCCTGGTTTGGCTTCTCAAATCTGACAGTATTTTCAGAGAGGAGCACTGAAGATTGCCAGAGGGAGCCTGTGTCTGAGAAGAACCTCACGAATGTCTTTGACATTCCCCCAGAAGTGTGAGGGAGGGTGAGTTCTGGCTGGTATAGATGAACTGTCTCATGAAAGTGACTGAGAAATCAGCTGGAGTCCCTGGAGCAGGCCTAACAATGAGTGAAGTGAGCTTGGGTGAGAAATAAGCCTGCTAGGACCTAGTGTTAACTGCATTAGTTCACCATGCTAGCTTTTCAGGTTTCCTGAAATATGAACTTGAGTGCCCTGGCTCTTGTTTAACATTTTACATGCGTGTGCATCTTCATTTTTCCAGGGAGAGCACTCCCGGCTTTCCAATTTTCAAAGGAGACTGTGAACCCTATACTCCAACACCAATTAAGAACTAGAGAAAAAAGACTCCAGCTGTAGATGACAGTTCTAGATCTTTGTTCTAGATCTAGTGGTCTGAATTACATGGACAGGGTACACCAAGCCTCAAGGATTGGCTGCTTTCAGTACAGAAAGTGTGGAGGCACCCTAAGCCTTTTGTATCAAGCATGTATTGAGTTATAATCATTTTAAAGGGTTGAAAAGTAATGCTTTCCAAGGGAGAGCTGCCATTTTGCTGGAGCTCAAGGAGTATCCAATCTTATTCATGATTGCTGGATCCTCCTTGACCCAATGACCTGTTCAAGACTTCAATTTTGACCTACAATCAGAAGAAATGACCATTATTTTGGTTGAGGAGCCTAGAAATGGCAAGGTAATGTTTGTAGAAGAAAGTATCCTCAGATAAACAGCACAAAACAAAAGCCACCATTTTGAGAGTTCTTCACGCCCATCTCTGGAGTGTGAAACAGGAGATGTTTCTCCTTCTCTTTCCTATTTCTCTCTGCTCCATCCTGTTTTACTAAAATACATCCTTGCCAAACTTCAAAGAAGAAGAAGTATCCAATTCATCACTGGACAGGTCATTGAATTACAGTATGAACTTCTCTTTTATTTTTTTAAATCTTAGCTACTGCCACTGTACAGGAAAATCCATGCTTGCAAATTTGTTCTAGGGTCTTCATAGTATCTGCAAGTTCAACTGATTTGTATCCTGAAGGCCTTTCAAATATTGATCTTTGCTGAGGGGCTGGAGGTATAGCTCAAGCACCTGCCTTGCAAGGACAAGCCTCTGAATTCAAACCCCAGTATTGCAAAAAAAAAAAAATAAGCAAATAAATAAAATGATTGGGCTGAAGGTGAAGCTCAGTGATAAAGCATGCATGAGTCCCTGGGTTCAAGCCCCGGTACCACAGACACACACACAATAATAAAATGAAGAAAAAGAATGATTGAAAGGAAGATACCATCATAAACAATGTTAAAAGACTAGGAAAAATGTTTGTAGTCCTATGTAGCCAAAAGGGGATTAATATCTATACTGTATAAAGAAGTCATATAAATCAGAAATCTAATACAATACAAAGAGGTAAAGAATATGAATAGGTAAATCATAGAAGAAATGTAAATGACCAAAAACTCATTATCAGTTATAAGAAATATAAGGAGAACAAGAAGATATTACATTTGCCTCTCTGATAATAGCAAAATTTGAGACTAATATCCAGTTTGGGTATAAAATGCTGAAGTACAAAGTATACTATAAAAATTCTAGGTTCAAATAACCCATGACCCAACTACTCCACTTCTAGAAGCTTATTCTCAAGACATAAGACA